CAGTACACTCACCAGATACTGGAGTCAGACTCTGAGGAAGAGAGCCAGTCCTCACAGGTGCCCTTGGAGGCTCCTTGCAGCCAGACTTACACCACCAAGACCTCTAAGGCTTCAAGGGCAGCTGGCCGCACCCAGCTGGAGGCCACTTCTGGCTCCCTTCCCCAAAGGTCCAAGGGACCTGCTAAGACCAAGGGCCCCCAACATCAAAAGACACAGCCTGGTGGAAGGGTCCCTGCCCTGAGCACATCACCAGCCAAGGAGGGCCCTCCAGGCCCTGATGGTGACACCCAGCTACCGGCCTCCCAGGAATCCATGGCCACCTCTGTAGACAGCAGTGACAGCTCCTGCAGCTCACAAAGGTAACCAGATGGAAGGACAGGGCCACATCCTCTCTCACAAGCAGGGCCAGCCTAGCACAGCTGCCCTCAGCATTAGATTCTGGCTGAGGGTGCGATCCCGCTCAGGCCGGCAGCTAGAGTGCCAGGGACACAGCAGCCTGGGGCTTCCTACTGCCCCGGGGGTCGTCCATGTGCCGGGCTCCGCAGGGGACAAAGAAACACACTCCTTCCCTCAAAGAGGCTCCTGGTCTCGGGGTGGAGGCCGGAAAGAAGGGGTGTTGCTAGGTGTTATTGTCTGGTTCTTTTCAGTTCTTTCTGTGACTTTGGAGCGGCCTTGGAGTCTGCAGGAGAAGATGAGGAGGACGAGGAGGGTGTCAGTGCTTCACAGGCGGCCATCCGGGTAGCGGCCACAGAGGAGGCCGTGAGGCATTACATCTGCTCCAAGCCAGCCCTCTACCGCAAGGTCCTGCTGTACCAGCCCTTGGAGCTGGCAGAGCTACAGGCCGAGCTGAAGCATCAAGGCATCCACGTGGCCACGGGGAAGCTGCTGGACTTCCTGGACACCCAGTGCATCACCTTCACCACAGCTGCCGCCCGCAAGGCGAAGCCTGAGAGGAAGAGACGGCAGCCCATGAGCAAGAAGACGGGGGTCAGAACCCGCGGGCCTGTCCCCCGCCCCCAACCCCAGGCCATCAGCAGCCTGTGAGGGTCTGCAGCCCCCGTCAGCCAGCCAGCCAGGCCCCCACAGTGTTTCTGAGCTTTCTGACCATACCGCTCCCCCTGTGAATAACGGCAGCACCAACCCAGATCGGCTTCCTCTTGACCTCATATCCTAGAGTGGCCTTTAGAGTGTGTCATCTGCTGGATTTAGGGGCCCTGGCCCCTCCCTCCATTGGTGCCCACAGTTTGTCTCCCTTTAACCCCCTTGGGCCCCATGTGTTTCAGGAGGGGGTGGGCCACTGCCAGCTGGCCAGGGCAAGGCCTGATTCAGCTGCGTTTTCCACTCTCTTTGCCCACTAGTCACAGGTGTCCGTGTCCTGAGGTGGATGTCTGGGTCCAGGCTGCCCCTGCCCATGTCTTCCTTCTCAGCACTTGGGCTGTAATCCCAGCCTCCACCAGCAGACCAGCTGTCCACAGGCCCTGAACTGCCAGGCCCCAGGTGCTCTGCTGGCCCAGCTGTCCTGCCCAGACACCTGTCATTGTCACCAGCAGTCTTTGAATTGGACAGTACAGAAGGCCCAGTACAGCTCTGAAGCCCCCCAAATAAGCATGTTCTTTGTTAACTGGTTCCACCAGTATGTGTTGTAGCCGCCTGTGGAGTGCAGGTGAGGGCTGGAAAAGAAGAAAAGTTTGGGTCTCTGTGTCCTTGTGAACGTCTTGTCTGTTTTAAATACAGTGCAGTTCGTTTTATATGATGTGCAATAAAAACAAAAAGCCTTTATAGAAACCTTCTGGATACTGTACTCTAGAAAATAACGAGGGAAACGGGCCGTGGGGAGGGGACCCACAGTGCCCCTGCTGCCCCCACACCCGTGTCTGCCGAAGGCCTGTGCCTGTTCTCCATCTCAAGGCGGAGCTCAGGCCTGCTGCTGCTCATTCCTCTGGTTCTTAGGTACTCATTCATCTACACATTTGTGCCCCCACCCCAAACCCCGCACGCCTACAGTTAAGAGCCCTCAGCAGGCGCTGAGCTCCCACCCTCGATGATCCAGGAGAGGCCAAGGCCCAGCAGCATTGCCCGGGGTTTGTTACATGCAGGCTTGGGCCGCCCATACCCACTGAGTCAGAATCTGCAATTTAACAGGATGAGTTTATGAAGCCTGCTCTGGCCTGTGTGCTGGGCCCTGTGGAGAAAAGGGAACAGGCCGGCACTTCCGGTCATCTAGTGGAGGAGACAGACTGGCCTCTCCTCTGTGCCAGCTGCGAGGGTCAGTGCTCAGATGGCCCAAAGGGACAGCTTCCTGGAAGAGGGGGTTTGTGAACTGGGCCTCAGCGGCGTGCAGCATTCAGGGAGGCGAAATGGGGCTTCTTGAACACATACTGTGTTTCCTGATTTGTGACCAGGCGGAGGGGACCCAGCCTTCCCCGTGTCTGCTGCCCAAGGGCAGACAGCTAGAGGGAAGCCTCGGCTCAGATCACACCGCTTTGATCAGACTGAAGATGGAGCCTGGCCTGTTCTAGAAGCTACCATGCATTTCTTGTATGAAGGGCTTGATGCCCCCTCCCGAGTATGGGCTGTGTCAGGGAAACAAAGTGGAGTTAGGAAGGAGGGAGCCGACCCAGGGTCCTTACCCTGCTCACTGGCTCGCAGGGGAGACCATGCAGCTTCGGGTGCACTCCCTGGGGGGAGGCCTGGGAGCCTCACTCCTCGGACAGTGTCCTGACTCGGAGAACGCTACCAACTCCAGGTGGAAAAGGAGGTTTTGGGGGAGGGGTTAAAGTTGATAAAAAGCCACCAGCAGGTAAAGGGAGGGAAGGTGGGCCTGGGGACTGAAGACCTTGGCCCGTCGGGTCTGTGCAGCGTGTCCCCGGAGGCCAGCAGGGGTCAGCAGTTGGCCTGGCCATGGCTCGGCCAGTGCAAAAGCAAGGAAAGAGGTTTAAACCAGCCACTAAGAAAAGAAACCACCACAGCCAGAGAAGGCGGCACCGGGAAGGCATGACCTGTACACAGGGTTTAAGTCTGACTCAGGAACTAGAGAACTAGGCCCAGCTAACTGGTTGAAAAGGAGCCGACGATGAGCTGCCCTCTCCCAGCACCCACAGGGAGCCTGGAGGAGCCAGCGGCCATGGCCTCGTGGCGGGCAGCAGGCACAGGCGTTCCTGTGCAGAAGCTCTGCCAGTCACCACAGGGACTCAGAATAGGAAGAACATGCGCTGAGCTCCAGGGCAGCGGAACATTCACCCATCAGCGAAAACGAGGAGACACCCGCGCTTCACTGTGATGTGACCTCCTGGGCCGGTCCCGCTTCCTGTGGCTTGGCCTCGGCCTGGACATGGTCACTTAAGGCAATCAAAGGACAGCCACAGCCCAGCTTGAGCAGGGCCCCAGCAAGGGGGCCTTGCAGCCTGCACAACCCCAGAGAGGCCCATGCAGGCAGGAAGCCTCAGGTTTTCGCTGAGCTGGGAAGGGCCTGCCCAGCTGACCACAACTCTGGGTGGACAGAAAGCCCCAGAGTGAGAACGAGCACAGGAGACCTCACCCCAAACGTATGAAAACCCCCAGGAGAGTCAGGAGAAGGCCCCGAACTTCTTAGAGGAGCCAGCAGAGGGAGCCTGGGGCCCAGCCCTACCCAGCCATGGGACATCCCTTCTAGGTGGGGAGGAAAGGTGGGGGGCAGTGCTGACTCAGGGGTGCCCTGAGATTCCCCACAGAGGATGCTGTTTCATTTTGTGCTCAGGATCCATCGACCCTGAGCCGTGGAGGGAGGAGCAGAGGGGCCTCCTGGCCTCTGTCGTGTGACAGATACCCACCTGGCCCTTGTGGTTTCCAACATCCTGTGGGCGGCCTGTTCTCAAATGCCTTCGCTGCACCTCTGGCCAGGGCTGCAGCCGCCAGTCTGCACTCTACCTGCCTGAAGCCTCAGCAGGCTTCTCCAGGGTAGCCACCGTGTATCCCCCCAGCACCTGGCGAGCGCTGATGGAAGGGACAGAGGGAGTGAGGGGGGAATGGGAGCATGGCATTCTATGAAGCACTTCTGATCTGCCGCCTTGGTACTCTCCCCTCCATCACCCACGCGGCTCTTGAGGACAGGCTAATACAAGCACATGCCCCGCCCCCTCCCAACTCCCCTCACACACAAGCTGCTACATGCACTTGAACCTACTACTCTCCTGCTCTACAACCATTGCTGGCTCCCACCTGCTCGCTGAGAAAATCTGAGGCCCCATCACTTTGCTCCCACCTCGTCATCTGCTCCTCTCAGCGGCTTCACATGAGGTGGTTTGCTCCCTGTCACCAGAGTCTGTCCTGTATTTTTCCTCTATTGTAACTTTTCTCATGTTGTTCACTCTGGGCTGTGTCCTTCCCCATCAATGCAGCGCACGTGCTGAGGTCTACCTCCAGGGGCCTGAGTGAACTGCCACATTCTGCTGTTTCAGGTGCAGCTGACCTGCCTTGGGGGCCCTTGAGTCGGGAAGACACTGTGGAGTACAGCTGGGGCAAAGGTGCCTGTTGGGTGCTAGAGAGAAGGAAAGCAAGGGCGGTTAGAAGAAGGGGTGAGGAGGGCCACACACCATATCAGAGCATGCCAGCCTAGAGTGGCAGGACGCAGTTCCAGCCCCAGCGAGGTCAGCTGCCTGCTGTGTGGCCTTGAGGAAGCACTGAATGCCCCCACGCTTGCCTGGTTTCCCTACCGCCCCCCAAAAAGCAAAGGTCTGCTGATGGTGAGTCTGTTTTCCTTTGTGGCCTTGGTTGGACCACTTTCCCCTGAGCATCAGGTCTGCAGGGGCACTCAGTCCTTGAAACAAGACCCTGGCATCACCCTTGCCTCTGACTTACAGGGTGGTGACAAAGCCAGAGAGCTGGCCCGAGGCAGCTACAGCTCACTGATTTGTCTGTAAGGCTGTTAGCTTTTGAAATCAGACAGGAAGGAGGGTTGAGGTGGAGCCCGGCACAGGAAGAGGTGAGGAGCCCCGGCTGCCGTGACAGCCGGTGGGCTCGGGGGAGTGCGGGAGCTGGCAGGCCGCGGCCCTGCTGCCCTGCACGGTAATCACCTCCTGATCCCTCCAGACAGGGCTTCACTCCTGCCCTGGACAGATCCTGACGGCTCGGGGACCAGCTGACCAGCCACAGAGATTCCCGGGACATCCTCACACCCACCCAGCTGCCTCTGTCCACTGGAGCAGGGCTGAGCCCAGGAGCACTGGGATGGACACCCTCGGCCCCCCAGCATTGGCATCCCTGGAGCAATGAGGCCCGGGAGGTAAGTCGAGTCCAGACTGTCTCAGTGCAGGATGGGGGAGAAAGAGGAGACAGCTGGCAGAAAGGACCATGACTTCGAAGGCCTGAGCCACTCTGTGGAGTGGTGGCTGGGGCAACTCCAGGAAGGTGTCCCCATGGGTGCCAGGAGCTGCTGGGAAGGACTAGATAACGGTGTGAAATAAGCAAACAGGTGCCTAAGGACAGCCCACAATGGGCCAAGGCAACAAAGCCCAGCACCCCAGGTACCAATGATGGGACAGGGAGGAGCAGGAAGTAGCTGGAAAGTGCGGCAGGCAGGCAGAGGTGAGGTTGAGCAGTGCAGCCCAGTGGTTAAACTTGGAATCAGCAGACCTGGGCACCATCCTAGCATCCCCTTTCCTCCCTTAAGATGGAGGGGACAATACCAGACCTGCCCAGGGTCCTGAGGACCAAGGGAGGTGGTGCAGGTGGGGTTGGGTCTATCACCCAGTGCCTGCTCCATAAATGTCACCCTCATGTTGGGTGAGCAGTCCCCAGGGTCCTCTCCCAGCTGCACCCTCGGATGGAAGTGAGGTTCATCATTCTGAGAGGGACGGTAATCACAGAGGCTTTCTCAGAAGAGGCGCCATAGAGCTGGTCCAGGGTGGCTATTGGTCATAGGGCCCTCCCCTGTGGCCAGGCTCCTGGGTCCCAGGGTTTTTCCGTCCCCTCAAAGGACGCACATGCTTTCCCTGAGCCCTAGGGCTCACCCTTGGCCATTACAGGGAAACCTGCAGCTGGCTCCCAGGTGGGGGTGCAGGCTGGGCACCTCCTCCTCTGTCCCAGGGGTGCCAGGATCCCCAGGGTTGAGCCTGTCCCGGTCCCCAAGAGGGTTCCAGGGCAGTGAAGTTAGGAGAGCTGTGTCTCGCGGTGAGGCACTGCTTCCTGCCTCTGGGAAAGGCTGTTTGGTCTCAGGTGGTCAGCGGTCATGGTCAGGGGGGCCACCTAAGAGGGCTGAGAACTGAAGTCTCGGGCCCTGGGGGGCAGGGGCGGGAGTCAGGAGACAGGAACATCCGAGAAGCTGTGGCCTGGGACACGGGCAGCCCAGGAGGGAGGGCAGCACTGCAGGCCCCACAGTCACCAAGTGCAGGTGGGCAGAGCAGAGGCCGGCTGCTCTCACACAGGCCTGGCAGACGGGACTGGGGCCCCTGGAAGGAAAGTATAGGACAAGCCGGGCCTCGTTGGCAGAGACAATGAGGAAATCGGGGCCTGGGCCTCAGAGATGAGACAGAAGCCCAGCTGTGGAGCCTGAGGGACAGGGTCTGAGTGATTCCAGCACAAGGGCACGCAGGCCCTTAGCTGTGTCCTGCCCCATAGATGAAGCACTGGAGGATGCATGGGAGCAGGGAAGCCCTACTCCAGGGAGGTGGCCGTGGAACCCCGGCCCTGTGTCTGGCCTTGCCCTGCCCGCTACAGCACAGACCCTCTGCAGACTGACCGCCCTCTGGCCCTAAAAGCCCCCAAGGCGATCTAAGGCCCACCCGCCCTCAGTCTTCTTCACTTTAAGCTGGGCTCTCAGGCCTCCTGCTGCTCACCAAAGACTGTCTACACTGGGCAGGGTCTACCTGGCTGTCCCTGGTGGCATGTGTGGCCACCGGATGTCACCCTGCTCAGAAGTCTGTGGTAGGTTCCACCCTGTGAGGGTGGCATCTGGGGCTGTAAGCAGGGCTGTCCACACAGGTGGCCAGGTAGCCACCCTCAGCCGCTGCTGGCCCTGGGAGGTCATGGGAATGGTGTGGCTCCTGGGCCAACTGCTGGGGTCTCCTCTTCTGTTCTTGTTGGGACAAGGTGTCCAAAGGTGAAGGCCAGGCTGGGGGGGGCTCTTATCTGAGTGGGGCTTGAGTAGGGGTGCCAGATAACAGAACACCCTGTTAATATTTAATCTCAGATAAAGAATGAGTTTTGTTTTTTTTAAGTATAAGTATGTCCCAAGTAGTACATAAGATATACTAAAAGAATTATTTGTTGTTTGTCTGAAATTCAAATTTCACTGGCTGTCCTGTATCTTAATTTGCTAAATCTGGCAACCCTAGGCGAGGTCAGTGGGGCAAGAAAGATGGGTGTCCGATCAGGAGGGAATGTTGGCCCCACTGCTGAGTGGCTGCTGGGACCCAGAGGCAAGGAGCTCGCCCTCCCACCTTCCCAGGCACACGCAGGCCGGCCTCTTCCTCCTGCTCACTCTCGCCTTCTGCAGTCGCTTCTTTGTCACTTTCCTAGCCTCCCTCTGGCCCAGTGGTTCTCAACTCTGGCTGCTCATTAGAATCACCTGGGTAGCTTTAAAATGCATCCATGTAGGGGCTCTACCCCAGACCAGTGAAATCTCTGCACAGTTGGGCTAAGCAGTGGCTTTTTTAAAATAGCGCTCCATAGAATGACCATAAAATCCAGCAATTCCACTTCTGGGTATACACCCAAAAGAGTTGAAAGCAGGGCCTTGAACTGCTATTTGTACTCCCACGTTCACAGCAGCATTATTCACAAGAGCCAAAAGGTGGAAACAACCTAAGTACAATATCTATTGACGAATGGATGAATAAACAAAATGTGGTCCATCCATAAACTGGAATATGATTTAGCCTTAAAAAGGAATGAAATTCTAGTACCTGTTACAACTTGGATGAGCCTGGAAAACATTATGCTCAAAGAAGCCAGATGCAAAGGGACAAATACTGTGTGATCCCACTTACATGAGGTACCTAGAGTTGTCAGATTCATATAAACAGAAAGTGGTTACCAGGGGCTGGGGAGTCAGTGCTTAATAAGTACAGAGTTTCCATTTGGGAGGATGAAAAAGTTCTAGAGGTGGATGGTGGTGATGGTTGCACAACATTATAAATGTACTTAATGTCACTGAATTGAATGCTTAAAAAATAGTTAAAATAGTAAATTTTATGTTAGGTATACTTTACCACAATAAAAATTTTAAATTAAAAAAATATTTAGTGCTCCAGACAATGTCCTGCCTGAGCTGAGAGGCACTGAGCCTGGCCCTTCTTCAACATGGTCCTGCGTACTCCTGGCCACCACCCCACCCCCACCAAAGCATAGTCTGTTACTTGGTGGGTGTACCTGGACATCCAATGCAGGAGGCTGTGTCCAGCCCTGGGCCACACCCTGAAATCACCCTGAGAGCAGGACAGAGGCCTGAGTGTCCCAGCTCATGCACTAAGAGGCTGCAGTAACAGTGCTTCATTTTGGTTTACATACATTTGAACTTTTAGATAGCTGCTAGCATAACGTTCTCTAAATTGAGGTATAACGTAGACAGTAAAGTGAGCTCAACGGATTTTTATATATGTGTACGCCTGTGTGTACACCATCCAGATTAGTAGATAGAAGTTTACAGCACCCTAGAAGGCTCCCTCATGCCCCATCCAGTCAGAACCGCCTCCAAGTGTAACTACTACTTTGACTTCTATCTTTTCAGATTGGTTTGGCCTGACTTTAAACTTCCTACAAATGGAATCACAAGAGTGTGTCTCTTTTGCATCAGACTTCTTTCACTCACAATGTCTGCGAGAGTCAGCCATAGTGTTGAGGATATCAGTAGCTTATTCTGTTTCTTTATAATGTAGGATTTGATTGTATGAACATTCCAAAAAGAATCTCAATCTTTTGTTGATGGACATTGGTTGTTTCCACTCTTCTGGAGTTTATGAATAAAGCTGCTATAAATATTCTGATCTGGGTTTTGGTGGACATAAACACTCGTTTCTGTTGGGTATATACCCAGGAGGGAAATTACTGGGTCACAGAAATATGCATATTTAGTCTTATCATTACCAAACATTTTTCCAGAGTGATCTTAATTTTCATTTTCTGATTACTAATGATATTCTCTGCAGTGACATTCTTTCAAGTTTTGGCTCAGTTTATCATCAGGTGTCTGTTTCTTACTGATTGATTAATGTGCTGGGGATGTTGTCTCCTAGTCAATGGTTTGCTTTTTCACCTTTTAATGCTGTCTTCTAATGAACAGATATTCCTAATTTTAATGAATCTCAATATATTGTTCTTTTCTTTCATGGTTAGTGCTTTTTGTGTTCTGTTTAATCTTTATGTAGACCAAGTTCAAAAAGATATATATATATATTTTTTTTTTGCGGTATGTGGGCCTCTCACTGTTGTGGCCTCTCGTGTTGCGGAGCACAGGCTCTGGACGCACAGGCCCAGCGGCCATGGCTCATGGGCCCAGCCACTCTGTGGCATGTGGGATCTTCCCGGACTGGGGCACGAACCCATGTCCCCTGCATCAGCAGGCGGACTCTCAATCACTGTGCCACCAGGGAAGCCCTAAAAAGATATTTTATCCTGTATTTTTTCTAAGGCTTGACTGTGTTAGCATTCACATTTAGATAGATCTATGATCCAGCTTGAATTAATGTTTTGTGTACGGTGTGAGGTAGAGGTCAGGGTTCACTTTTCCCATATGAATATCCCATTAGCCAGCACAATTTAATGCCCACTGAATTGCAGTGGAGGCCTTGTTATAAATCAGGTGCCCATATATGTGTGGGTCTGTTTCTGGACCCTCTATTCTAGTGCACTGGTCTATTTGTCTGCCCTTGTACCAATACCTATAGCTCTATACTAAGTCTTGATATTGTGTAGTGTAAGTCCTCAGGCTTTGTTCTTCTTCTTCAAGATTATTTTGTCTATTTCAGGGTTTTTTGTTTATGTTTTAGAATCAGCTTACCAATTTCCACCCTCCCCACTCCCCTCCAAAAAGCCTGCTGGGATTTTGATTGGTATGTCAATCTATAGATCATCTTAATAATACTGAGTCTTTCAATCCATGAATATGGCAAATCCCTACTTTAGGTCTTCTTTAATTTCTCTTAGTGTTGTTTCATAGTTTTCAATGTGGAGGTCATGCAAATTTTTTTGCTAGATTTATTCTTTTTTTAATATTTATTTATTTATTTGGCTATGCTGGGTCGTAGGTGCAGCACGCAGGATCTTTGTTGCAGCACGTGGGATCTT